AAAAACGTCCCCTGTTGTATATCTATTTTAAATTAATCTGACGTTAGGTCCAGGTGTTTGATCTACGGATAAGGACAGTGTAAAAGGCGACAATTACCGCTGCATAAGCTTTCCTTGGAGGATGAATTCATGATAAGAACGAAGGTCAAAGAAGGGGAAATTGCATAGTTGGGAGACAGGCGGACCTCCTGGGTGCTGACCGACGCGCAATTGGCAGCGAAAGATTGACCTCGGCGATCTAGCATGGCTCACTCTTGGCGCGGTTGGCGGGGTACGCCCACCGACTATCTAATCACTCGCCGCAGGTCTATACGTGGCGAGTGATTAGATAGCAGAGAGAGCGTAGTGTTGAAGAGGGCACAGCGATGAGAGTCGCATCAATGCGCAAATCAACGGGCAAGGAAGGGGTCCCATTTCTCGGGTTTGGGCCGTTTCAAATGGTTTCCTTCATCCTGCTCCACTGACCACCTCTACCCTTATTTCCAATGAGCTAACTTTTCATCGTAAACTATAACGTGTAATTTAATAGGATACATAGGATAATTACTACTAACTAGTAACTCTCAAGCGCGATCACACAGAATTATATGTTACTTGTGATTTCTAGCTCCAGTGTGCTCATCAGGAGCGATTATACACCTGACTATACAGAAATGATCTGAAGAGATGGCAAAGGAGGTCCAGCTCCGCAGTTCCGGCCCAGTAAATTTGGAAATTGATCAGACCATCACCCTTTTCGAAAACTTCAGCGTATATAAAAGGTTCCTTGGAAAATTCTCGAAAATCTGCTCTCATTCTGAACTTGACAGATACGTCCGTGTTCGTTCCCTTCTAAGAAATTTTTAGCCCAGTCAACCTCGAATATGAATCCATTCCCAAATTACAAATACCCTCCCCCTTGTTCGAATACCTGGTCGAACGACTGACCCAAAAGAACTTACGAACGGAATGTGCTATTGCTACGCCATTTACCATTGCCTGTACAACGCTCAAGACGTCATATATAGTACATGGTTTTTTTTTAGTTTTAGTGTAGTCCATCCTTTTGCGCAATCATACGGTGAAATCATGGGAGGAGAAGAATTTTCAAATCATCGAAAGTGTTTTCTTGAAAAAAGATAAGGTGCAAAAAAATTTTTTCTCTTAAATTCCGAGATGCAGAGGGCAGGTGAATTGTAGGAGAACTGAGGTCAGTAGCTATGAGCTCAGCGATTAGTGTGAGAAATTTAAAAACTTAGTTAAGCACAGCAATCACTTGAACATCTATCCAAAACTGTTTTTAAGTGTAAGAAAACAATAGTGTCAAAAGCTAATCAGAGATGTGTAACTTAGCGAATGACCTTGTTTGCGACATCACAACTGCCCTCTTCGAGGACATTGCCCATGGTGCTGCTGGTGACCTGTTCGCATCCTCCGTGGTCGTTGTTTTGTTTTATGTGAGCGCTTGCTGCTAAGGACTTAAGTCAAGAGATGTTATTTGCACTTCAATCGCCA